GGGGAGTGGAGCCGGGGAGGCTGCAGTGAGCTGGGAGAACAGGATCAATTCGGAGCACTGAACTTTCCAAGCAGGCACGCTTACTCCAAAAGGAAGACAAAGGCAGTGATCTGCCTGTCTGTCCAATTTGGACATGCGGTTCAAGTAGTCAGTTCCTCACTGTTCACATGCAGCTGTTCTTCTCTCCCCCGGCTCACCTATAGCATCAAGGGATGCATGCTAAACAGCTTCCAGGTGCCCGGTTGTTCCCTTCTCGGCCCTGTTCTCTATCCTGACCTGCGTGGACTGGCTCCCAGTCTGTGGTTTCTGATTGGGTTTGGCTAAGGAGCAGCAGCAGCAGGAAACGGCAATGAGAAGCTGAGTTTTGGCTTCTTCACTAGGAACTTGTCATTGGTTGAGTTCCTTGATCACTCACAGATCAAAAAAGCCAATCAAAAAAGCCAACCAGTCCTTAAACTCTCCCTCTGAAGTTCTGGTAAACATTCCTTCGCCAGCTCCTTCCGGTTTAAGGGTGGTAGCAGTTCCTGGGCTGGCCCGATTCCAGGGCACTGAGTTATCCTGCCGTGAGTCCCTACTCTCATCACCCTCTGGATGGAATCCCTTCCTTGCAGCCTTTTCTCAAATTGCTTAATTTGAGCATGCAAAGTGAGTCCTAGGGTTCGCAAAAAATCACTGGTAACGTTGTGTTTCCTGCCTCTGAAGGGAAAATGAGAATCACAGTCACTGCGAATCTGCTAGCAAGAAAGTTCCCATGTACTATTATTTACACAGAAATAGGAAGCAATATTTCTGATTTTAGGAATTTGAGTCATCCCTCTTGCTTTCGTGATAAGTCTAACTAAACGCTCATCAACTGTGATGATTCTTTCAAAGAGCCCACTTGGATTTTGCGTATTTCGTTCTCTTCCCCATTGCCTTTATTTGGGTTCCAGCCTTTGTTATTCCTTTCTTTCTGCTTGCTTTGAATTTAGTTTCCTCTTCTTTTTCTAGGTTCTTAACCTGGAAGACTAGGTTATTGATTTAAGGTCAGTTTTTTTTTACACCCATGTACAACTATAAATTTTCCTCAAAGCACTGCTTAAACTGTTAATCTGTATTTTCTATTTCATTCATCTCCTTATCTTATTTTATTTTTGGCCTAATTTCTCTTGTATTTCTTCATTAACCCTTTGACTATTTAGGGAAAAGTCTTTTTTGTCTGCACATATTTTGAGATTTTCACAATCACTTTCTGCTATTGCTTTCTGGCTCGTTCCCACTGTGGTCAGAGAACATAGCTGGTACTATTTCAACTCTTTCCAATTACGGACACTGGCTTTCTGACCTAAGATATTTATGATGTTCCACGTGCACCTGAGAAGAATGGGTGTTCTGTTGCTGGGTGGAGTGCTCTTCAGGCTCTTAGTAGGTCTTGTTGGTACATGGAGACAGCATTTAAATAAATAAAATGTCAATATAAAGACAGGTGGAAACATTGTATAACTATCATGCAATAATAGTTATACAGGATGGTGTAGGACTGGGCATTGTTGCCTTCTGCTGTGCAGAGGGTTGCTTGGGAGGTGAACTGCTGTGGGCAGGTAACAACAACAACAATGACTTGTCATAAATGTAAGTATGAAGACAAAAAAGTGTTATTTAATTCTAGTGGGAAAATTCTTCCTAATGAGTCCGGCATATTTTTTTTAGAAGTGCACTATCAAGAAGATTATATATTTTAAGTCATTTTATCATCAGCTTTATACTTTCCACTTAGGTTTAATTAGAAGGATTGAAAACAGATGAAATGATTATACTAAGTTATTCAGTTCCAAATCGGTTTACCCAGTGCTGTCCAGTCAATGTCAACTCACAGTGACCCTATAGCACAAAGGAGAACTGCTCCCTAGGGTTTCTGAGCCTCACTGCCCTACCAAGGAGTGGCTGGGAGGTTTGAACCTCTGACCTCGGGGTTAGCAGTCCTATGCTTACCTACTAAATAAGTTCTTGTGCTAGAAATTATTTGTGCTTTGTAAGAATTTCTTGTGCTTTTTAAGAAGATTTTCTCATCTCCTTTTAGAAATCTTTCTCTCTGATATGTTGTTTCATAATTCCCAAATGACTCTCAATAATGCCTTGAACGTTCAGAGTGTCTAATACTGGGCCAACCAGAACACAGTCAATAAATTCTTTGTCTAACTAGCAAGTGCTAGTTATGTTCCCTTTAAGGAAGTTAAGAATGAAAAGAATTGTTCTTAAACCCGATTATAACTTCAAAGTGTCTTTCTCAGGTAACCTTTTTATTTGATACCTTATTTCCTGGTCTGTTTCCTGTCAGGGGTTCATATCATCTGAGTAACCACCTCCCAACGTTAGCAA